GTTGCACTGGCAAGTTGTCACCTACAACAGTCTGTGGCTCTAGTGGTGGTCTTTCCTCTGAAATTACAATTGGTGCTGGAATGTGAGGGAAATTCTCTGTTTTCACAATGACAGGATAATGTTGCTCTGAATGATGTATTGGTAGATGAGTCTGTGTTATTGGTAACATCACATGCACAGGTTTTGCATCTTCGTCTTCTTGAAAATGGGTTTCTTGTTCAATGGCAATAGGTCCCTCTTGAGCAGCATGTTCAGGCTCAGCTGCAAAATAACAACTTATTTAGTGAGCACAATACAACCTTTGCTTTTAAAACAAAGCCACTTCAGACTAACAATGCAGAGAACCCAAGGACATTCTCAAGGGCATTAAATCTTATTTTTCAAGACACCACTCTCACTTGAGAAAATCTATCTTTTTCTACTTTTTGAGTTACAATGTATATGAAGTACATTTAACTTGATATACATGTATTTATATGCATGTGTCAAGTACAACTCAAAACATATCAAAGTTATGATGCTAGACGATCAAATAAAACAAAAAATTTCAATAACAGCACGTAGAACATGTTCAGGGATTTCTGTTAAGTACTTTTGAGCCCATTGTTTCTTTGTATCCTTACTGTTCCTGAAACTTGTGTCACAATGTCACATATTAAGTCAAAATCCACACAAAAAAGAGGAAGTTGATAAAAAAAAACTCAAGATTCTTGGACACTTTTCAGTTACATGTAAGTTTGCCTGAACAATCATTCTTACTAACCCCCTGAGCCTCCTGGGAAATTTTTCTACAATGTTATCAACTGGTGGTGACAGGATCGGGAAGTCTAAAACTCTGATGGAAACTAAACTAACGATCAAGTTACTGATGCACTACTGAAGTCAACTTAGTGGATGACAAGGGAGGATCAATGAGGGATACAGGCTATTTCAGTCTACACCAGACTCAAAAAAAACCTTGAATTCCAGCTTGCTCTTGGGACAAGTAGCTCCAATATTTTGCTTGTCCTGGGCAAGGCTTAGTTTGCTCTTTTAATGATTTAGTTGACAGATGACTTGCCTGACCTCTTGCCCATTGAGCAAATGAGAATGAAAAGTTACTTGCCCAGAAGGAGAATCTACACTGCACTTGTCCCAGACGAACGGACAACACTTTTTTCTAGTCCTGTATATGTATACAAAGAGTATAATTTACACCACATCAACAGGATGCCATTACACCAACCCCTTTTTTACCTCTTTGGTAAAACAAGCACAAAGGAAAATTTTGCTTTTCTCAATATTTATAAAACGTTGCAAACTAACCTTCAGGAGGGCCACCTTCTTGGAATTGAGTTGGTTGAGGATTTGGTACCTGAAACATTTAGATAATATTAATAATAGCTTGAGTCTCTAAACAAATAATTTATCTATTACAGAGAAAATAAATATTATGAACAACCTGGTGTGTCAGAAATCTCATGTAGACATTCATGGACACTGTAAAAACAGCTCATCAGCTTTTATCATCATTCACACCACTCAATTAACAACAAATTTAAAAAGTAAAGTACCCTGCCCAACTTGATGGATCATTTTAATAGGTTGGTATATGACCTACATAATTAATTCTGCATTCACTTGATCCATACTACTCCACACACAAATGGCTTTCATGAAAAGAACCCTGGCATAGTCAATCAAACCTATTGAACAGAATTTCAATTGAACTCAATCAAACTGAATCTGACTCAATCCATAGATTGACTTCGATCTAGTTAAGCAATCAAAACCGAACTCAAACAAAGTTTGGTTGCCAGTCAAACACAATCTAATGGATTGAGTTCACATTGGGTTTTCTTTCTCTAATGGGGTTGGATTGGTTCAGAAATCAAACTCACATGAGCTATGGTGTTCAATTTCATTCAATTGCCAAACTCAGTCGAACTCAATCCAAAGATTGAGCTTGATTGAGTTTGATTTCTGGGAGTCTGATTGACTATACTGGGATAGAACTCTCAAAACTGTAAGCATAACTAAGTCTGGGGTTATATCAAATCTTGCCACTAATCCCTCCAGTGGGATTACCGAAGCTGTTGTCATGATGTCTCCAGACACCACACATCAACACAAATTTAAACCTGATTGTTTCCATGGCATTAATTGTGCTCAAGATGACAAATGACATACATGTAGAGGTGAATTAAGCAATTTTGGACAACATGAAACGAGCTATAGGTGGCAAACTACAAGCAGGCGGCAATATGGCTCTCATTTAACATTGTTTTGAATGCTCTTTTGATCATCAGACCTTACCTCGAGCTCATCTGACATCAAGCAAGCCAAGCTAAGTACAAAGTTAAGCTATAAAATAAGCTTGAAAATCTACATAAGCTTGCATAACTTGACGCTTGAACCTTACCGACACAAAATAACTGTGAAGTCTTGCTATCAACTCCGCCTTCAAACCTTGGAACAAAAATAAAAACAGTAAGAAATAAGATAAATGTGATTTTAAGCTCGGTAAGTCTGTAGAATTTCTGCGTGCACGTGGTTCACCAACAAATTAAGCTTATAGCTTAATACATTCGAACAGACTGGAAAGTTGCAGTATGACTTCGCCAACCAACAAAGCAAAAACCATCTCAATCAGTTCAATTTAAGGCAAAGGAATGACTTATTTCCTAATCTACCTGAGGTTTGTAGTCCAAGCGACGATAACCGAGCTTTTAGTTCAACAACTTTCAACTTTTTCAGCTCCTCCAAAGAAGGGATCTCTTCCTCCATGTTGGATGTTGCGGCCTCGCGACGTTGCCGCGATGGATCATGGGTGCTTTTACCGTGAGACCCTGAACCGATCTCAAAGAACGCCTGACGGAAAATGGACAATTTGTGGAAAGAATAACTCGACTTTATGATTAGATAGAGTTTATGGTTGCATATGGAACTTCACTTTCTTGGGACAGGCTCTTGCTATCCATCTCCCCACAGGGGAGCATCGTGCACAATTCTTCGGCACGATACTGGCTGTTGGATGTTTGACTGTGGCGAAGGGACTCAAATTCAATTGATGAAGAGTTCCATTAAACCAACAAGAATTAACAAGATTTTCATCACGCACCTTCATGGGGATCATCTCTTCGGTTTGCCTGGTCTACTTTGCACTATGGGAATCAACTGTGCTGAAAATAGGGAGCCCATTGAAATCTATGGGCCTGTTGGCTTGAGAAAGTTCATCAGAGTGTCTTTGGGGTTGTCACAATCATTGCTTGGCTTTAGCTACTCAGTGAACGAGCTTCACTGTGTTACTTCAGGTGAATTTTTAAGTTTAGTGGCTCATCTGAGGCCATAAGGTTTCCTCTATATCAGTACTTTGGATACTTTATTTGTATTTAAATACATTTACAGGTGTAGGAAGGGATTTCAACAAATGCCCAATTAATCCACTAAACATTCAGGTAGAAGGGTAAGATGAGTCAAATTGTAGCAAGATGGTAGTACCCTTGTATTTGGGCCAGAAAGTAAAAAAGGCATCAAGGAATATAATATGGTTTACNATATGGTTTACTTTATTTGTGAATGATACAAGATAACAAACATCGTGGCCATTGATTTGCCTTCCCTTGTAATTGATGAAAGAGAACAGTAAGCACAACATAAAAGAAAAGCATTTGGGGCAGCAGTCACATCAGACTAGCAAATTCCAGTGGATATCTCTTTTGGTGCAGAAAATACTGTGTGGACATTAATGGAGTGGGGGCAGGGGGTGGGGGGGCACTTCTGATTTTAGCACTTGTTCAACGTTACAAGTACATACATACAGTATATACATAATACTTTATTCTATCTCACATTTTGAGCAGCCAAAAATAGGCTAGTATCTCCAAGAAAATGAAAGTCAAAATAAAGTAACACTATGTTTATTGAATAAAATATTAACTTAGAAGAAGTTACAATTAGCCAATTAACTTTTGTTGTCGAATTGCTTTAATTAGGTCATTGAGACAAGAAATAGCTCATAGTCTGTCAGGTAAAGCATTCCAGAACTTAGCTGCTGTATAAGTAAAGGAATTCAAGCCTTAAGTGGTAGTGCAAGGTTTAGGAAGGGTGAGGATATCAGTTCCTCACATAAAATAGTCTATAATAATTATGTTAAATTGGCCAATTTCATAGATGCATGATGACATAAGCCCTAACCAGTTGTAAAATGGACCTTCCCAGGGAAGCCAAGCAGAGCTAATTGTCAGGCTAATCCATAGTTAATAGAGGAAAATGGTTGTGAAACCCAACAAAGTTCTGTGTTCTATGAATGCAAAACAAAAGATTGTGCATGGTCGTGGACCTTCCATCATAAGTCTTGGCATCTTTGTTTGCTCCAGCCCTGTGATGTTTGCCAGGCTTCATAGACATTTCTCTATGGCGAATCTAAAACAGAGATCTCTGCCACAGATTAACATAATCAACTTATTAGAAATGGATTTGCTTCCTAGCCGAGGGAAATAGTAAATTACTCATTACTTAGTGCCTTCAGGTTGCAAAAACCAGACTCCATTGACAAGGTCTCTGCTGTACTGACTGTACTGAGAAAAAAAATCTTTTATGCAGGTTTTGCTCAAGACAGCAGTGTGGAATGGACACACTCCCTCTCTGCATCAGATAATCTGCACCCAAATGAGACTTCTGGGAGGACAATTTATGAAGGTGATAATGGCAAATGGCAAGTTTGTCAAGAAGGAAATTTAACTGTGTTTGCAGCACCCCTAAAGCACCGTGTTACATGTTTTGGTTATGTAACACAGGAGCAACAATTGCCAGGAAAACTGGATCCTGATCTTTTAAAACTGAGAGGTATTTCTCCAGGGCCTCTTTATGGAAAGATCAAGAACGGAGAAACAGTCACAGCTCCTGACGGCAGCCTGGTGATGCCTGCAGATGTCCTGGGACCACCACGTCCTGGCCGTAAAGTTGTTATACTTGGGGATACATGTGACTCATCAAGGATTATGGACTTGGCTTTTGATGCAGATATAGTTGTTCATGAAGCTACTCTTGAAAATGAACTGATGGAAACATGCATAGATCATGGTCATTCAACTCCAGGTATTTTAATTGATTTATTTATCACTAATGATGCTCTTCAAGATTTAATTCAATATCAATACTTGAAGGCAGAATTCTAGTGTATGTAAAAGGTACTCTTTATTGTTTGTGAAAAATAGTAAATTAAAATGTTTTAAATAAGCATTTGATACAATCACAACTCTATTGTTATGGTACAAATAGATATGCCATATTGTTGCCATTTGTCAATGATT